TGGGAGAGTAAGGCAACGAGTGAGGTACGATTGAGACTCCTTACGGATGTTAGGTTTTTGAATTACCGATCCCATCGATAGAGAAAGTAAGCAACAGGCATGAGTAGACCGACTGATAGCAACGGCGAATGAATGTCTAGAGCCAATAATTTTCTATCACTGAACTCAATCACTTGTTGCCATTACTCAACAGTTTTCTGTTGAGGTCTATCCCGTAGAGGTAGTCAAATTGGATCAATAATCGATTTCTAGGTTTTCAATTACTTAAATCAATAGTTCAAACCGCACTAAAAGGTAGGGCATTTCCTTCAATACGCGAACGACACCCTAATTATCATTAGGGCAGACGGTTCTACGGCCGCCAACCTAAAACGTATCCTTGATGACTTCTCTGGCGCGACGGGGCTAGCCATTAACTTCTCCAAAACCACTTTCGTCCCCCTAAATATTGATCCAGAAATTGCCTCCGCGATGGCGGCCACACTTGGCAACTCTGTGGCCACTTTCCCGCAAAAGTACCTTGGCCTTCCCCTCTCTCCCCACAAACTGCCCCTCTGCGTTCCAACCCGTAATAGACTTTTGTGATGTGTATTTAGCTGGGTGGTGTGCTCTTCTGCTCTCTCGTGGTGGTCGTCTGATCCTCCTGTCCGCCCTTCTTGACAGTCTTCTCACTTACTTCATGATGTGCTTCTCCCTCCCTGGAAGCGTTCTGGAGGAAATCAATAAGCGTAGACGGATTTTCTTTTGGTCAAACAATGACTCCTTCTCGGGGGCTAAGTGCTTAGTGGTGTGGAATCGGGTGTGTATGCCTAAGCAGCCAGGTGGTCTAGGTGTTAAAAACTTACGAGCGCAATTTTTTGCCTTATGTCGAATTTTGCATTCGAATTCCTCCACTCCTCCCCCTTTGCCTTGGAAAGACTGGATTATAAAACACTCCCCACTACATATAGGTATAGGTAAAAATGCCTCCTTCCTTGGCAAGGCTATCTTCAAGCATCTACATACACTAAGAGATCTCTCTCAGGTAAGGATAGGAAATGGCTCCTCCACATTTTATTGGTTAGATCGTTGGATACTTTCTAAGTCTCTCGCCACCACCTTCCCAGCCCTGTTTTCCCACCACACAAAGCCAAATGCTTTAGTCACACATATTATGATGGATGGGATTGATCTGGGCTTGCGTAGCCAGCTAACCTTAACTGCTTTTAATGAACTTGTTTCCTTGAGATTGTTTTTGCAGGATGTGCACCTCACGGGAGCTCCAGACGAAAGATCGCTACTCAACGGGGCTGCCGTCTGCACCATGGGCGCCTACAATGCCCTTGCCTCACAGCTGGCCGACCCAAACCTCGCTCACATCTGGGACTCAAGGGTTCCTAGCAGGGTGCAGGTGTTTGGATAGTTGTTCTATCTTGACAGGCTTAACCCTCGAGCCAATCTACACCGTAAGTCTATCATCAACTCGTCGTCCTGTCCCTGTTGCAACGGTGTGCAGCAAGACCGTGCTCACTTGTTCGTCGCATGCCCGACTGCTACTGCCATTTGGGATGCACTTGGGCTGCAGCCATGTTCCTCACCTCTTGTGGAACCGTGGAACTCGCCATGCCACCCCACCCTGCCGCAGTCAGTGTGGCCCTTCGTTCTGCTGCTACTGCTCTGGAAAATCTAGGATGCACGGAATGTGATGACCTTTAGGGGGGTTAACCAAACCCCGAATGATGTAATTAAGGCCATAATCTCGGACCTCACTCTCTGGTCACACCGCCTTAGAAAGACGGACCAAAAAAACCCCACGCCGGATTGTGCCTTGTTGATTAAATCCTTTTGAAATATATTCAGGCGGGGAGCCTTTCCCTCCGGTGACAGTTTCAAAAATAAACAATGTTCTATAATCTAAAGACGCATGTGTGTACAAGATCATGCCTACTTTGAGATAGAAATATTGCGTTTTTCCAATCGAGCATTTCTCCTCGATAAATTTTGGTACAACATAGAGCACGGTGGCCTTATGTCATGCTCTCCAGCACAAGCAACAACATCAGCTTCAGCCTACCGAGTCATGACTTTCAGGGTGAAAACCTAAGGTCTGACCTTCATTGGTTGTGTCTGGCGATTGCCTTGCTGGAGGAATTGTTTTGGGAGCGCGGCCTTTTTCCAGGGTGAAAACCCAAGATTTTGGATCGGGCAACGACGACGCTTGTGCACTGTTCCCTTCTTGGAGGCGTTGTTTTTTGAGACCTTTTATGTTTTTGGGGTGTTGTATTAGGTGGTGTTATGTGTGTTGCTATTGAGAGGAGTCGGTCGCTGTGGCGGGATCATTCTTTTTTTTTTCCTTTCTTTTAATTTTCTCCTTTGGATGTGTGCATCCTGGATGTCCTTGTGACATCTTGTTGGTGCATAGACTGGATGTAATTGGCATCTTCGCGATATTAATTTATTCTCCTTTCAAAAAAAAATTAGTGGCGGGCGGCCACATGCCAGTGGTAGCCCATCTTCAGTGGCGGACAATCACCACTGCCCGCCGGTGGTAGCCCATCTACGGTGGAGGGCTATCACCACTGCCCGTCACAGAAATTTTGCAGCAGTGGCGGGCCCTTTCCGCCGCTCGCCACAGTGTTCGGTGCCCGCCACTTCTATTAATTGATGCCAAATTGATGCTATTGCAGCATATTGCGCCTTCATCACATCATCAAAATGCACTAGAACATGAAGGCGCGCGTTGCCGCGCCCGTGAATGTTATATAAAATAATGTTAAAAATCTGAGAAAATTCAGCTAGTTAAAACATTTACTATATTTTGAATGGTTCAAATTGGAGTACCTTGGTATAGCTGGTGGATCATATTTATTGAAAACCAAAACTGCTCCATCTATATTTCTCCATCTAACATTAATGAGAAGAGAAGAAACATTGACATACACCTTCACTTGGATCACTGGCTCTCTAGCTTCGTAGGGCATCCCCGTACTTTATAAGTTGAATCAACCCTCCAGACCAGATAAGGAAATTGTAGGATTCATTCAACAGGAAAATGCTCTCCCCCCTGTAGAAGCAAATGAAACTACGTTGGAACAAGCAGTTAATTTGTGGACTGTTTTTGTTTCTTGCTTCAATATCTGAAGACAAAGAAGAGGGGAAGGAACTGAATGCAGTACTGTAGCAAATTATTCAGTGGTACAGAGAGCTTTTTCCAGGAACCCACGAAGACACATGAACATATCACCATACGGTTATCCTGGTATGTCGCGGCCACCAGATGGGTACGTCTGGTCGAGGATAGGTTGCACCCCATAAAGGATCTCCTCCTGAACTGTACCCCGTGACTGCTAAGAACTCCATGGTGCTCACCTGCGTCGATTGAGTGGCGATGTGGCGAGACCTCAGCCACGGTGGCTACGGGAGAGGGAACGAGGAGAACGGATAGAGGCTGTCGGCTGTCGCACACAGAAGGTCGATATATAGGATGGCACTGACGCGGACTCGCCAAGGCAGATGCGCTGCAGAAGCTGGCCTATGGGACGGAGTCCGGGAGGACGGTGGCGGCGCATCGCGGACGATGAACAAATTAAGAAGAGCGGTCTGGAGGGTTAGGGCCGACCTGGCCTATTATGCGAATGGGCTTTCGACGGAGCTCGTTCTATGGAGCAGCAGCCCGCGAAACGGTGCCTGGAGCGCCTGAGCGACGTCGGGATGACCAAAAGCTGATCTAGATCGTACGTTTGAGCCATCCGACGGCCGAGAGCGTCAAAACACTGTGGGGGCTCCTAGCTAGCTGAGTCTTACTGTTTAGTAATAGGATACATAAATTCTAATTTTAACATTGATCCACATACAACACATAAAGACACCACATTACAATGATGTCTTACCAGTAAAAAGTAGTAGTTATAAAAAAAATAACAAGTGCATTATAACAATAAACATATATATGTCACTCATAACACATAATTAATGGTTTCACGGATTGTTTAGGAGTGAAAAGAGTGTTGGTCGATGTTCAACACATAGTGCGTTAGTAGAAGCCGCACATACTGCATGAATTACTAGCCCATATATATGTTTACCGGGTGGTCTTCGGTGCGTCGGCTTGTGGTCAAGGTGCATTTCAAGGAGGGGGATGTCAGGGACCTCCCCTAGCCCATACATATACTTGGGCTGAGCATCACAGGCTGCTACGAGCTACAAGTATCGGTGAGGAAGCAACGAAGAAGGAATCCGCGTAGGATCACGTCACTGGCGGCTCCCCTGGCTTCTCCTACCTTTCTTCCACCCCTCTTCCACCTCGGTTTCTTGGACTTCTATGAGCAATTCCCCAGTATAAATTCTTGTAGCCCAAATTGATGTTTGAGAGGAGTGAATCCATAGAGGTACTCTAACAATTACATATCCTAATAGATTTAATAGGAATCATATATACTAAAAAGGTAACTTACCTACAACACAAGTAAAGATCGTAGACTAATTCTCTTCTTTATCTTTAAATGGGCTACGTGGGTTATCGTGGGAGTTACGCGATTTACATATACAACCAAACACTTGGTCGAAACGATAATTATATGATATGCATATAGGAATACTTCGAGTGTGGATTTTTAGTACCCTCGTACTAGCGTACCCTCTATCTAAACCATTCGGTTTGTGTCAAGATTCGTGTTATCCTTATATGAAAAATTCTTCTTTTTGTTTCTTCCAAACAAGAGAACATTTGACCTTTGCAAATAAACTATACACAAGTAGGTGCAACCTGAACTTTGCTTTGGTAGATATGTGATATTCCAAACGAGTCTTATTCATAACCAAATGGTGGGCGTACAATATAAATGCATTGGATGCACAACGTAGTAATATGTAATATGCTGTAGTGAAGGGAATAGTAGCAAATTAAACACAGTATCAAATGCTAAGTCAAGGCACTCGCATGCAATACATGCATGCAGCCTGACCGGCATTGACTTATTGCACATAGAGCAGCAAATATAACAATGGCAACGCAGGCATGCTCATCGACACTCTGGAGTCCACTCATGTCGATGTGTTCCTGCATGGTCGATCACACGCAGTTGATCCTGCAGAGGTTTGTGCACCCGGGCACGCACAAGTCGGATTGGATGAGGAAGCAGTAGTTGCACAGGGTGGGAAAGATGTTGCAAAAGCTGTTGCAGAAGTAGGGGCGCTGCGCATTGCAAGCCTGGCCGCATCCCGGCTCGCACTCGTCGCATGGTATGTCCTGCGCGACCGTTGGCACCTGTAGCTGGATCATCAGGACCAGCACGACACAGACGGCAGCAGTCACCTTGAGAGGCGCCATTTGTTGGGCTGGATATGGATATGATGGTTGTGTTAGATCGAACTCCTAGCTGGAGTAGATAGGTATTTATAGGCGTGCGCACCATCCTTCTTGGATCTGGATGGCAAAGTCTGCTCCTATGAATGAGACTAGCCATAACATACACGCTATTCTAGGCTATGTTACTACTACCTCTGTCCTGGTTTATTGGCTCCTTTAATAATTTGTACTAAATTTTGATCAAAGATTTGACTGGCAAAATGTTAGTGCATGTCAAACAAAAATTATATCATTCGATTCGTATCTAAACATAGTTCTTAATGATATATTTTTTTATGACATGCATGAACTTTTTTGTTTGTTAAATTTATGGTCAAAATTCGGCAAAGAATACAATAGGGACCAATAAACTAGGACGGATGTAGTACCTCTATAATGGGTAGTAACATATGTGTGATGTCGTGCAAGGCTTCATTTATTAGGTTATAGACTCGTACTGTCTTGGGATATGTGATGTTACAGTAACTAGCTAAGTTACTCAATTTACCCATCTACATATTAACTCGTTGTCACATAGGCAAATTTGCTAAGTTGGAATCGATGTTACTCTTGAAGTTACTCCCACTATGGCCAGTCTGAGTCCAAAATATTCCGTGAAAAAGGTCAAGATGGCCAACACTGATAGCTGAACGCGGAGCGCACGCCAACCTATGGAGGTTCCCGAAAATTGCCTTCTATTAGTGACATTTTTTACTCAGAAAGGTGATTTAAATCCCCGGCCTCTCCATCAGTCGGTGCATACAGTCATCTTTATTAATTATTCAACAAAGATCTGACAAGAATATACATCAAGTCATCCGAAGCCACCACTTACACCTAACAACTCGACAATATGGAGTGCCCTCTCTCCCACCATTTAGAACTGAGGTCACCACCGATCTGCCCGCATGACATATAAGGAGCCTACACTCGGTGCAGCAAATCTAACGCGTACACCACACACACATGTTTTAGAAGCCGCCACCACCATCGAACCGCTGACCCATGTCCAGAAAAGAGATCGTGCATCATCCTTACCAGGCCGGCCATCTGTCGATGCCACCACGGCGACGAACAGCGCTACCGCCTTGCGCTCGTCCATTCAGACGCATATGTCGCCGAGACTTGGCTGCACCATGCCGCCAAGATCCACTATTGTAGACACGGTATATCCGACGCCGCTTCACCTGCCAACCTCCACACCACCGCCGCCGATGGAGCCCTTGCCATGCAGGTTCCACCACCCATAGCAACTTTCCCCCGAACACCCAAGCCTCGCAAGATGGCACCCTCATGGAGGGATACGACGTCCAGGCCGCCGGTGCCCAATCCAAGACAAATTTTGGACTCTCGTCCGGGAGGTGGTCGGGGCTGGATAGGAGGGACCTCGGCTTCGCCTACAAGGAGGGTAATGACATCAAGAGCCGCCGCAGATGTTGGGCTGAACCAGCCGACCAAAGTCTCCTCTGGTCCCCATCTAATGAAAGCACAACCTCATCATGCTACTAATTTGGCCCGATCTTTCACGATACAATGAACTCCTCCGAATTTAGCTGATAAAATCTCCCAATTACGCGAGCAGTACACATAACCCAAAGATGGGGTAACGGGAACCAATGGACAATCCCTCGACACAAGAACCTCCCACCCAAATAGACGTAACCAGCATGCAACTCATGAGAAACGACATACCTCGAGGGAAGTCGACCCTTTTGTACAAAAGAAAATTCACCATCATAATGATAAGTTAATTGTCTCCTGTCCGTCCATGATTTTTCCAACAATATAGAACACACATGCATATGCATAGGAAGCACATCACACACAACTAGATCATCATATCCACATAAAGGGAAACTACTTCGACGCGATGCATGATCTTGATAAAACTCCGACATGCACCCGCATAAAGCATTGGTACCAAGGCAAGGCACGCAATGGATCCTTCTTCATTGCCATCTCCATTTGCGAACTACAATCTTTCCTCATGATAAATAAAAATATCTACCGTAACTGGAAGAAAATAATTTTACCGTGAACAACCTTTGTTCTGAATACCAACTGATGAAAGCACAACCTCGCCGTGCTACTGATTTGGCCCGATCTTTCAAGATACATTGACCTCCTCTGAATTCAGCTGGTAAAATATCCCAATTACGCGAGTTGTACAGGTAACCGGAAGATGTGATAATGAAAACCAATGGACAATCTCTTGACACACGAAGAACCTCCTGTTGAAGTAGACGTAACAAGCACGCACCCCATCGGAAATGACAGACCTTGAGCGAAGTGTAACTTTCACACAGAAAATTTATACAAAATAAATAACAGCGACACCCGAAGACGGCCGCTTCATGGTCGATACACGACGTTATCTAAACTCAAAAAATATAACATCCTTCTACAAAGAGCCTACCATTACTATATATACCAGTACAGCTAGCCGACTCGAACTTGCGTAATAAGTTAGACCAAACAAAAATTTGTTTATATCTAACTCTCGACCAACACTTAAGGAAGTAAATCTGATCACAAGCTTTAACTTAGCAAGTAATCATTACAATTTATATATTTAAAGTAATTAAACACAATTTCCTCGCAGCCCCATCCCATGTTTCTCAAGGACAGCAAATGCCACCATTTAAACCTGCTCACGTATACATATATCTCCGGCGGCCTTGATCGTAAGAAGTAGTAACCGACTAGGATACTTCCGTTAGTCTCAATCAAAAGGTATCACATCCATGTATAGTCTTGTTGTGTACGTGGCAACCAAAAGATACAACCAAGTTGACGCATGCCTTGATCAAACATGTATGTGTTGGAATTATTTTCTTCCTTCTCTAATATCCAAGCATGCATTGTGTATTTTGATACAGAAGAAAATTGTGGTTCTAATTCAACCTTCATTTTCTCCTGATCAAAACGCCTCACGTTATCGCAAACAGTGACGAGCGAAACTGCCTCAACTTAAACCAGACCAACGTCGTGTATGTCATGGTGGTGGACGGTACAAATAGAACTAGTGTTGGTCATATCATCCTCTCCCCCTTGAAACGAATCCGTCCTTGGTTTCAAGTCTATCTCCCCAGCATATGCATCTGCATAAACTATCGAGGCCAAAAATACCAATGGTATCTGGAAAAAACAATTTTACCGTGAACAACCTTTGCTCTGAATACCGACTGATGAAAGCACAACCTCGTCGTGCTACTGATTTGGCCTTATCTTTCACGGTACGATGAACTCCTTTGAATTCAGTTGATAAAATCTCCTAATTACACGAGCAGTACACATAATCTGAAGATGGGGTAACGACAACCAATGGACAATCCCTCGACGCATGAAGAACCTGCCGTCAAAGTAGACGTAGCCAGCACGCAACCCGTCGGAAACGATAGACCTCTAGCGAAGTGTAACTTTCACACAGAAAATTTATACAAAATAAATAACAACGGCACTTGAAGACGGCCGCTTCATGATCGAAACACGACGTTGTCCAAATTCCAAAATATAACCTGCTTTTACAAAGAGGGTACCATGACTATATATACCAGTACCGCTAGCCGACTCAAACTTGCCTAATAAGTCGACCAAACAAAAACTTCTTTATCTCTAAGTCTCGACCACCACCTAAGGAAGTAAATCTGATCCCAAGCTTTAACTTAGCAAGTAATCATTAGAATTTAAATACTTAAAGTAATCAAACACGATTTCCTGGCCGGCCGCCCCGATCCAATGTTTCTCAAGAGCAGCAAACCCCACCATTTAAACCTGATCACGCACACATAAATCTCCGGCGGCCTTGATAATGAGAAGTAGTAACCAATAAGGCTTCTTCCATTAGTCTCAATCAAAAAGTATCCTGTCCATGTATACTCTTGTTGTGGACGTCACAACCAAAAGAAACAACCAAAGGAAAATAAGCACAAGAGGACACTTGAGCTGGATGGTACCTGCAATATTTATGGAAGTGCTGTTGAAAATGCTCACCATGCTACTGTAACATGCACAAAACAGAGAGCACTTTGAGAGGAAATGTGTAAAATTTGGAAACTACCTGAAGTTAAGTCGCTCTTGCTTTTCTCCCCTGATTGGCTATTGCAAAACTTGAGCTTATGCCCTGGCGAGATGAAGGAGAAGTTTATGCTTGTGCTGTGGAGGGCATGGCACCTAAGAGATGACGTAATTCATAACAAAGGCAAGGCTACTGTTTGGGATTCAGTGAGTTTCTTGAAAAGCTATAGGGAGTGTTTATCAGCCCCAAATCTGATTGCAAATGATGCCAAAGGAAAGCAGAAAATGCATGAAATTCAAATGCAGCATACGAGTCATCCTCGACATGCTATTAGATGGGCAAAGCCTTCTGGAAATCACATAAAAGTTAACGTCGATGCTTCTTTCATACCAGCTTCTGGTTTAGCTGCGCTCGGAGCTATTGGCAGAGATAGTTCGGGTGCGGTGGTCTTCTCAGCGGGCTGCTGCTTTCATGGATGTACTGAAGCTGAGGAAGCTGAAGCTCAGGCCTTGTTGTTTGGCCTCACCCAGGCACACAGATTAGCTTTGAACAATGTGATTTTTGAATCAGATTGTTCCGCTGTAGTAACTGCTGTGAATGATTGCAACACTAATAGAGCCAGTTGGTGGGCCTGCTATGTGAAAGTGAAGGAAATGTTCAGAGAGTTTGAATCATGCACAGTATCCAAAATCTACAGAGAATGCAATGTGGCCGCACATGAGCTAGCTGCCTTTGCTAGAGTGAATGGTGATTTTTGTATTCTAGCTGATGTGCCACAGGGTTTGATGCATGTAATTAACTCTGATTGTAACCCAGCTTATGTGTTTTAATGAGATTTCCTTTTCCTAAAAAAAACAACCTAGTTGACGCATGCC